TTTACTGAGATAATTAGTGATGAAAATTTATGTTGTTGTTTGTTCCACTGTTCTGGTTTTGAGCGTATATTTTACCATGCTTAAAATCACAGAATCACAGAACGGTTGAGGTTGGAAGGGACCTCTAGAGATCATCTAGTCCAACCCCCCTGCTCCAGCAGGGACACCCAGAGCACGTGGCACAGGGTGGCATCCAGGCGGGTTTGGAAGATCTCCAGAGAAGGAGACTCCACAACCTCTCTGGACAGCCTGTGCCAGGGCTCTGTCACCCTCACAGTCCAGAGCAAGTATTGAATATTGGGTTGGCATCTCTTCTGTGAGAATGAAGATGAATGTTGGCAGCTTGGCAGCACAGAAGTGCAACTAAATCACTATGTCACCACTAACTGCATCTGTATTAGGAATATGCATACTTACTTTACTTACCAAAGACCCTATTAAATTCTGCCTTTATTTACCCTTGCTTAGATAGCGAAATTCGTAGCAGCTGGGTATACACCTTAGTGTATTATTTGTCTTCACTGGATGTGATCCCATGAAGCCAAACCCAAAATTCTGTTCCCAGAGTGTTATGTAATCATACCATTTATTTCTCTGGCAAAAAAATGCAATATGAGTTGTGATGATATTAAATTAGAAGTTTCACCTTATGCTCACAGGCTCCATGATGCAGTATTATCCTATAAACAGGAGATTGTGAAAATGGATTGTTTTCGCTTTTAAGTAGAATAAATAGGAGAAATAATAAGCATAAACAACAACAAAAAAGAGAGATAAGGGAGAATTAGACTTAAATATTTTGTTTTAAAATGTGGTAAGTAAAGGGAACATAAATTTGAAATGTATAGACTTTTCCTTTTTTTGTTACTTTCTCCTTTATAAATAAAGATTTTATGCATATATCTTATACCTACCTTTTAGATTATCCTTCATAGCAATCATTTAGGAGCCAGATTAACTAATTTTCTCCCAGTAAAAGTCTGAAAATAAAATGGTTTCTTTTTCAGCTGCTGTACAAAAGATTTCCAAAAAAGTAGATATGGATGTGTATAGCAAGAGGATGGAGATCATGCTCCAGTAAGTTGACATATTTCTCTAAATAAAAATGTTATTCAGGGAAGTATGGTAATTTTAGCACAGTGCAGTTTAAAGATGTAGTTACTGAAAAAATGTTATGCAAATCTACATCAGTCTAAATTCCGTGAAGGCCAAGAATTAAGGTGTAAGAAAGATAATTCCCATTATCATTAAATTTTTGAATCTGAGGCCAGTTACTTCTCCTAGAAACAGAGTTATGAACTGTGTGTCTCCCAATACTGTGCTGTGATTGCTTAGGAAAATACCATCATTTAAATTATGTCAATTTTTAAACTTGTTCTGGTGTATGTTCTATTACTTACGAAAAAAAAAAATTAAGTCTTTTGAAGTCAAAGGGACTCCTTTATTTTGATAAGATTTTCTTTCAGTAAAATTCTTACTGTTACGTGACATCCACTTTCATTAAAAATAGATTCGTATTGTTAGTTAAATTTGAGTGGGTAAAATACTAGCATGTGAAAAGAGATATAGTACTGATAAAATGCCTTTGAAAGCCCAAGATTAACAGAAATGAAAACTGAAGAGTGCTGTCTGGCTGTGTTTTATATTTAGAGGTCTCTGTTTTAGGGACATGTTTGGGGAGGACTGTGTAAGTTCAAAAGATGGCTCTGTCCTGTCTGTCACAGTGGATGGAAAGACTGCAAACGTTTCACTGGAAACTCGGGTATGTACAGCAAAGCACCTTATCGGAATTATTTTGAGCAGAAATATGTCTCTAGTTCAATATTCCATGTTGCCTAGAATATCATGTACCTATAGACTAAGGAAATGCTTTTATACTTGGAGGCAAAGCAGTTTAAACCTGTTTGCAGAAACCCTAAAGTCAGTTCAGCCATAACAGTGAGAATTAGTAATGCTTATTTGACATACCGTGTTGGCATGGCAAGCTTGTGAAGGTCATTTATAGGTGTGGGATCATCACCATGCAGAGTGCCTGAGTGCAGGTGCCTGGGCTCTCTGATGAATCCACACATTTTATAATAGTAACTTAATATAATGCAGACAACTTCACAGATAAAATGGAATCTCCAAGAATTGAACTGTTTTTTTTTGTTATATTTTGCTTTGAATCAAATGTAGTGTGTTTTACTTAGTATTTTTGGAACAAGTAATTAAACATAAAATTCAGTATTAATTTTCTCATTTCTCAGCAAGACTCGTGTAAGTCTTTACTTAACTGTTCTGCATATTGATGGACTGTCTAAAAACCTATAGTGCAGCTATGCTAACTTTCCTTTAAATTTGTCTGACAACTATAGAAATGCTTGATGCTACTCACCGAGTATCTCTTTCCTTTTCTAAAGGAATATGAAGTGCCAGTTATTCTAACATACTTTTTTATTTTTATTTTTATTTTTTTTCTTTTTTCCCCCCTGTAATGTGCACAATGTGAGCCAGGAAGTGAAGATGACGAATCCCTTCGGGAAATGGTGGAATTGGCTGCACAGAGGCTCTATGATGCCCTCAGCCCAATACACTGACTTCTGTAGATATCTAGGATGCATCCAAAAAATCTCTTTAATGTTCAATTTACTTGGACTATTTTTTAATAAAATAAATAAAACTTCAGTAAGCCAGATGTACCAACTTTCGAATTGTAAAACTGCTGCGTTGCTTCAAAGAAGGAATGAGCAATCTTATAGCAACTATATTTGTACACTTGCATCATAATAAAATTAGGAGTTTGCATATTTTTTTAATGTGCACATACAGCAAATAAGAAAAATATCTTAACCTGGTCTGGATTGACATGCTGTCTAAAAGAGAATTAGCAAGATGAAATCGAGGCAAGTCTACGCTTTAAACTTTAAAAAAAAAAAAATTAATGAGCAGTTAGAGGATGAATTGTGTGCCAGGGATTTAAATATGCTAATCGTCACAGAATCACAGGATGGTTAAGGTTGGAAGGGACCTCTAGAGATCATCTAGTCCAACCCCCCTGCTCCAGCAGGGACACCTAGAGCACGTGGCACAGGGCGGCATCCAGGCGGGTTTGAAGATCTCCAGAGAAGGAGACTCCACAACCTCTCTGGGCAGCCTGTGCCAGGGCTCTGTCACCCTCACAGGAAAGAAGTTCTTCCTCACATGGAGATGGAACTTCCTGTGTTTAAATTTATACCCATTTCCCTTTGTCCTGAGAAGAGTTTGGCCCCATTGCTCCCTACATTATCCCTTCAGCTACTTAAACATATTGATCAGATCCCTTTTCAGTCTTTGAGTTTCTGTATAATTTTGTTCTTGTTGGGAAAGCATTTGACTTGCAGGCCTGTATGTGTTTGAAATCAAAGGGGCTTGAATACACTTACAATGTAATCCCTGGTGGAAGACTGAGTTTAAGTGGAGGTGTAAAACCACATATGGGGTCTTTGTTCCTGACTGTTCCAAGTGAATAAAACCATCCGCCAGAGAAGTCAAGAGTTAGATTGCAACAGCTCTAAGTGCAAATGGCCCCTGTCAGTAATTCTTCAAAAGTAACATACAGCTGCTCCAGCTCTAGTGAAATGGTCATTTTGAGCAAAACCAGATGAGATATCAGAACAATATTTAGAGAAGAATTTCAAATAGTGTGAATTCAAGAATTCACTATATATTGAATTTAAGAGATAGTTCAAGATTTTCAATTTCAAATTTGAGTTAGTTGCCAAAGGGTAAACCACTCGAAACAAAAAATGCTTGTGAAGTGGGTTTTCTACAAAAGAGCATAAAGGTGCATTTGCTTCATATGCATGACAGACTCTTCCCCCCCCACACACTCTGTTTTTTGCATAAATAATCATGCGTCTTTATAATAAACTATCAGTGCAACACATGTGTACATCAGTTCTCAGGATCTGTGTCACTGGCTCATGAAGAATGTACTGTCTTTTTAAAGAGGTCTTTAAAGAGTCTGTGGAAGGGAACATGACGTTCATTTGGAAGGGAAAGTCTTTCCATGCGATCGGATTTGTGAAGGAAAAAAAACCCCACAGTTTTCTATTCACTGTGAGTTGGATAGCTGGACTAGCTCTATTTTATATACCTTGTCTTGTGGTACTGATGGTTCGCATTTGCCGCAAAGTGATGAAGAAAGCAACCTGGTAGCGTTGCTAATGTGAATGATTACGCTTTTTGGAGACACCAGGAGCGAGCTCGGGCTCATGCTGGTTTGTCCGAGAGCCCCCGCTCTGCCCAGCTCGGCGGGCGCCATCGCTCTGAGCTACAACCAGGGCAAGGAGGCGCGGGAGGGCGGAGCGGGGCGGGAGGCTCCTCCGCCTCAGCGCGGCCCGCGGGCG